GGCTCTTGAAAACACCACTCTATTAGCATTAACATATAGCATTAGCATGAGAAACGTGGCAATTTTCACATTATTTGGTAGCTACCAATCTTGATTTATAGCAGAACTACATTCCTCCCATGTGCATTATTCTCTCAGTTGAAGTTGCAGTGCAGAGCTACGATTTGCTTGTGCAGTGACACTCCTGCAGATGAGGGTGACGGGCAGGGACAAGGAAGGACTTCTCTTTTTGGTGGTTCTTCTTTTTTTGGTGGTGCTCCATGTGACTGTGTGCAGACTCGTGTCTCCTGCTGCCAGTTACTCCAGTGTGCTCTTCAGTCTGGAAAAGATCGACTTCCATCTATTTTTTTGTCAGATAATATTTGTCCTTTATTAAAAATTCCTTGGTGGTGGGTTATACAGAACCAAGAGGATTGCTTTGTCACCACCAACCCCCCCTCCATCGCCTCCCCGTAGCACTAATGGCCATTAGAGTTAATTATTTAGAGCTCCTTGTTTTTCTTGTAGGAAGATGCAATCGATGTGCAGTGCCAGTTGTGTGGCTGTGTACTCTCTGGCTCCGGTACTTCACCCCTCATCTTTCAGAGTGTCTCCTTTCTTTGATACAGCCTTTGGCTTTTATTCAGTGCAGTGTAAGCAGCACCATTTATAAAACCTGTGTTAGTTTTCTTTCCCAGGCAGAAACATTTTCTCCATAACTGTTAACCTTCATGACACGGTCTGAAATGTTCAGTTCCTTGTGTTTTGATTCTTCTCCCCCTAATTTTCAGCTGCGTGCATTCTGGGCTTCACACATAATTGCAAAACCAAGCAGGTGACCTTTACACCTGGGCTCACCAATGGCTCTTTTGTTGTTGCACGCAGATGGACCGCAGAGTGCCCTGAGTGGAAATGTTAAGTGATCATTGGGAGTGAAGATCTCATCACAGTTATTGGTTTCCTCTGCGTATGAAAGCACCCCAAAACAAAAAATAATGCTTAGCAGTAGCAATTGGCATTGTAAGCAGTAAATTTGTCTTCCTTCTGGATGGGCTCTTAGCAATTTCAGGCATTTTTGTCCTGTGGTGGATCGTGCAAACTGGTATTGAATTGTTTCAACTTCAGCTGACACCTTGCTGTAATATATTTATATGTATATATATATATTTGTACTGGAGGGAGAGCTATTCTCGCCGTCTGACCTTCATGTGACCGAGCCATTCAGAGGGGAGGACTGGATGTCTTTCTTCAGACTCTGCCTTTGATCATTTTGATCCACAGTCTCTATAATGTGTGGCTGTGGGATGCGGTGTGATGTGTCTGGTGTCCATCTGGGAAATATTTGAGCGCCCGTGGCCTTCTGAGAACTGTCACCCAAATCCAGCCCAGGCTATGGTGCAGATTTGTAGTTAGATGCTGTATTCTGTATACATTCAGTCGAACAGAATTTTCCCTGTATTGTGGTCTTCCTGTGTTATTTTGGTTGCATGAAGTCAAAGGGTTTGAGAAGATATTCCTGTAAAAATCGAGGCCTGCCACGTGTAAGAGGCAGCAATATGTGGGGCGATATCCAATTTTGTCCTTGGGTTTTAACGTGATCCCTTCATGGGTTGGGCTGGGGTACCTACAGCTTCCCTGCATCGAAAGTTTTACTGCAAGGAGAAGAACTGCTCCTAATGGGCAAAGGCATTAAGAGTGCTGAAGTCATGATGCAGAACTTGCGTAAGGATTTGCATTTTTTCCCTGTATTACAAAACGTAGTTGAGCAGATGGATGCAGCCAGCTGTACATAGAGCTTTAGGGAGTGCTGGGGAAAAAAGAGAGAGGTTTTTGTTAAGATAAATGTAATAATCTCTGTGATAATTAGTTTAATTTAGATCCTTGCCTCTGACTCATTTTTGACTAACCTTGTATGAAGCCTTTCTTCCCTTACTGACGAGCCTGTGAGGTTTTTTTGTGCTTGCGGATTGCTCACTGATCACTGGTATTTTTCATTAAGCAGTTGCTTTATTACATTGTTATTTAGAGGAGAGTAATTTGTGTTTTCTAATTAATTTAATTCCACTCACATTTTGTAAGTAGCTACAATGAGCCCATTCACGGGGGTTTAGGTCATATTGACATTGTTTACCAGATGTGCCAGTTTGTTTTAAAACACAGTTAACTCTATGATGACAAGAGCTTCTTCCATGGCTCTACCTTCCATCTTCTATCATCTGCACCTCCAAAAACCGCCAAGATTAGGAGCTGCATTTCAAGTGATAGCTGTCTTTATGGCTTAAATCCCAGAGCTGCATTACAAACAGTGTTGATATCAACTTTTACTGCTCTGTTATCTGATTTGAGGAGCGGCAGCAAAGCCTTGTGGCTTCTCTTAGGCACAAGGGGTGGGAATGTTATCACTGTGACCTCCAGAAAACTAGGAAATGCGAAAGAGAAGCAAAGTGGGTGTCTGCATGTGGCCCATTTAACTCCTGAAAGCTTTCAGGAGAGAATGGGGAGGATGGGCAAGCCAGGCATTGCATGGCACGAGCAGTGCCTGATGCATTAACCATGATGGGACGTGGTTAATGTAGTAGAACGACAAATGTAATTCATATTTGACACCATCCTGAATTCAGAGCTGTGGGCACTTATTTCTGCCATAAACTTTTTGGAAGAGCTTGGTGTTTTCTTGCTAGTGGCACACCCAGGAATTAGAACCTATGCAAGCTTTGTGTTCCTCGCTGTTGAATACCACGTCCCTTTCCATCATCTGAGCATGAAAACTACACATTATGTCTATCCTTGGCTCATTTGGCCTGCTGTGTCAAGAGCTGGGGGTTTGGAATCAGTCCCTAATTAGGTGAATAAATAACTAAAACAGGAAAATGCACAGGCAGGTTATTCCCCTGACTGGAAGCTTGTCCCATAAAAAACTGGCAGCGTTTGTGAACATGCTTTGCAGTCACATATTTTGGTAAAAAATCAATTACTGCTTGTTTTGCAGTGACACTGCGAGATTCATCGGCCTCCAAAGTACCCAGTGCACAATGACCTTGTGTGTGTTTTCTGTCATTTTTCAACCGTTTCCCATCTCTTTGGCATTGGGACAGCTGAAATTAATGACGAACTCTGAAGGAAAGGTTTGCTGAGTAGTTCATACTTAGTAAATTTTAACATCTAATGGTTGTGCTGTAACGCAGTAAATTTTGGTACAGTTTGAACCGATATCCCAGCTGCATCTCAGCTTTATTTTTTGCAGTGAGCATTTAAATTGCTGTACTACTTCTTCAGGCTCATGTTGGTCAGCCAAGGGTGCATGCATGCATGGAGATCTGTTCTACCTATTGATTTAATAGGAAAGAGCATCTCTTGGAAGGGGAGAGTAAACGTGTGTGCATGCATGTGGAAGGAGGGAGAGGGAGAATTTCTATCTCTGTTCTTATGTCTATGATAAATGATGCCTGTTAAAAATTAGGGCTTTACTTTTTAAAGCCCATTATGTAAGCACAATCACTGTCAGCAGAAATTAAGCTGCAGCCTTAGTTGTTTAGTTCAGACAGTTTTGATGTTTTGCTGCCCCTCAATCAATCACTGCCTGGAGGGGTATTTGCTTCTGCCTGGAAATGCACCAGAGTGATGTACAGAGTGCAGATATTCCTCAAAAATGGCAAATGTTTCATTTGGAATACTCAGTTTTCATTGCTGTCTGTGAGCAGGTAGCAAAGTGAGCTCTGTTTTTCATTTTTAATTGTGGAGCTTCCCAGTTCAGAACTAGCATTTCCCTAATTACCTTAAAATGAGCTTCTTTCAAGACACATTTGTAATTCGCTTGCATCGCTTATTTTATTCTCCATGCAGAAGTTAGATGAGAGCATGGTTCTTAGCAGAGACAAAATGCATGAAGTGGTAAACATAATGCAGCATAAACGCCACATAAATCACATCCTAAAGACAAAAGCAGATTTCAAACGTCTGAATTGCTGAGCACTTAGTGTGGAGGGTAATCTGTGTTTTGGTTTATGGTTGTTTTCTGCAGTGCCGTGAGGAGCAAAGCAGGGTTTCCCCTCCTTTCCAGCAGCACAGGAGAGGGGGAGGATTTGCAGCCCACTCAGGGGGCAGCTTGTCCTGTGCTGTAGGCAGACTGCCCCGACAAGTGTCTGCTTTGCTGGGAACGGAGCCATGCAGAAGTAGTTGGTAGAAATCCCACTTGAGTTCTCCCTTGGCTCACACTTGTCACAGGCTGTTCCGAAATGCAAAACTGTCCTTGAAAAAACCTTCTCCCTTTGCATGGAATGCGACCTGTGTGAGCCCCCCCCCCCAGCATCCTCCTGAGGTTAGGACTTGCAGTGCTGCTTTCAAGCCCTGAAATCGCAGCTGGCAGATAAAACCTGTGCCTTCAAACATTTGTACTCGGGATGGGCAGGAAGGAAGCGTGTTTTCTCCACAGTGTTCACGCTTTTAGGGATAAAAGCTCGCTCCTCTGCATGCTTTTGTTTCGCCTCGCCTCCCAGCTCAATGCACATTTCCCTTATTGAAAAAAAAAGGGAAAAAAAAAAAAGGAAAAAAATCTATTTCTAGCGAAATACTTTTTAAAAAATCAACCTGTTCCCCCCGCAATGCTGTGATTGGCTCGGTGCAATTGACAAACGGATCGCGTCAAAAGGAAACATCCTCAGCTTAATTGGGAGCGCAGGCTGCCGGCAGCCAGGGGAGCGCCTGGGACTGTGCTGGGGCTGTGGGTTCCTCTCCAGCCTCCCGGCGGCTGCGGCACAAGTCAGCATCGCTAATGCGGAGCGAGCTCTCCCCCCGCGCCCCCGCCGCCGCGCTCGCTCCCCCTCTCCTCAGGCTTTGATTCGATATGAACAGACTGGTAACTCCGACGCGAGAGCGAAAGCTGACATAACTCTGCAGATGGCTGCGTTCGGATGAAACACCTAGGCGGGTTTTTTTTTTTGGTTTTTTTTTTTTTTTTGGTCTGTACGAGAAGGTAACGATTAGATGCTAATGTTTGTTTTTCCCTTGTTGCCGTTTTTCAGGACTGCCGGTCCCAAAGAAGAGCCCAAAGTCGGTAAGCGCTTCTCGCTGCTATGTGTGTCTGTCCATGTGGGTGGAGGAGGGATGAGTTGGGCTGCTTTTCTTTGTGGGTTTCAATTGTTTTAAGTTGTTGTTCTCTTGCAGCCGTGGTTACCTTGCACGGCTCATACTGCATGGGAAGATAGGAGGGGAATGCGGCTCAGTTTGCAAATAAAGCCTCAGGTTTGTGGATCCCCTTTCCCAGCTGATGAGCCTCTCCTGTTTAACTTACCAAAAAAAAAAAAAAAAAAAAAGGCTATTGTTACCTTTTGGAAAACCGAGAGGCTCCACCTTCTTGCCAGATAGCAGTTTCTGTCAGGTGTTTGTAGGCACCAACCTTTTCCTATTAACTCCCTGAGTTTTCCTGGATGCCCTCAGCTGGATTACAGGCAGAATGTAGCAGCGTGCGCTGTGTCGGGAGAGACAAAGCCCCAGCAGAGCGTGTGTGCAGCTTCGTGTGAATAGAGCCTGAACGCTTGCTCTGCAGGCATTTTCCTACTGAGAAGGATTGTGCTGCAGGTGTGAGTTTCCTTACTAAAAAGTAGAAAGAGAAAAAAAAAAGGGGGTGTTTTCTTATCCCTTTCTTATCCCTTCTGATCTTATTTCCACGTAAAGCTGTTAGCTGGGTGACATGTTTGCTAATAGCTTGCAAGCTGTGATCTAAAGTGTCATTAAAGCTCCGAGCATGATATTGTGGAAGATATTAATATGCTATTTAAATGCAACAGAAAGAAATCTTTCATTTTAAAGGAAGTGAAATAATTGAGCTTGAAAGTTTTGAATTTTCTGATGATGAGGAAAAATGGGCTTTTCTCTCCCAGTTGCTTTGGGGAAGCAGAGTATCGGAGAGGTTTTTGCCGTACTGTAAGATGGTGCCAAACTTCACCCATACACCTTGATGGGCACCAAACCCTGCATCCGGCACCAAACAAATAGCAGGACATTCATTTCAGAGAATGATAGAATATCCTGAGCTGGAAGGGGCCCATAAGGATCAGAGTCCATCCCTAGAGCCGGGCGCTGGCCGTAGTGCTGCAACTCGAGCGAGAGCTTCGCTGAAGGGCTGAGCAGGAGGCTCCTGCTTACAATACGAATTCTCTGTTCTTCCCCAAAGAAAGCCCTGCAATAATTAATGTGATTCTGATGGCTTAGGGCAGCGCTGATTACAGTCACGTGAGGGCAGGCCTATACTGCTGTCAGCTTGCATTAATGTGGGGAGGCAGAATGCGGGGTGCGCTCCCTCGCAGCGCTCAGGCATGTCAGACCCTGGGCATTCGCTTCTATGTCATATGCAGGGATTAATTCAGCCTTTGGTAAAACAGAAGCCAGCGTGTAGGATACATCCATGTCTGGCACGTTTCTGCTCCTGCCCGCACATTTCCCCCCAGTCGGAGCAGGAATTGCTGTGCTCGGTTCCAAGTCTGGCTGCTGCCGCTGTGCCAGCTGAGCCCTGGGTTCTGCCCACATTTGTTCGGAGACAGAGTAAACCCTGAGTCCAAGCAGCAGCTGAACCCGTGTAATCCTGCCTGGGGAACAAAGAGGCTGCAGGGCTACACCTGTCTGCAGGCGGTAGTAGATTGCCTCCTCCTGTCTGCTTGAAGGAGCTGGTCAGCCCTAGGGAGCAGCCCCTTCTGCACTTCTCCTCACCTACTGCCTCGCTTTAGGCTCCCTCCAGTAAATTCTGCTATAGCCCCAGGTGATGCTGTGGCCTTGGAAGCACAGGATGCACAAGAAGCAGAGCCTCCTATTCTTGCTGCCTGCATGCCAGATCATTTGCATCGACAATTAGCAGCAGCGATGTGCACCGCTTCACCACTGTGCTGCTGCATTGCACATTTTTGTTCCCATCCTATCCCATCCAATCCCATCACAATACTCCCTGCTGGGATGGGTTTGGCACGAGCTCTCTGTCCTCTGCTCCTCCCGACTCAGGGCTAAGTCTGCTCTCATTACCGCCATCCTCTCCCAAAGTCCCGACACACTCCCAACTCACTGCTAGCAGCTGTCTCTTCTTCCACCTACCACTATTTTTAGCTGCCGGCCCCATTCCCGTATTCCCACAGGGCTGACTTCAGGCTGTTGGGTACATCCCGGCATGGAGGAGGTGTCTTTGTTCGTGCCGGAGCTGTGGCAAGGTCTGGGAGTAGTTTTCTACCTTGAGCTGAGTTTTCCTGGGCTGTGTTTTTCAGCCTGTGCGTATTCTGATGAGCTTGGCTGTGTTTCTTAGCTTCTGAGAGAGGTTTTTAATGTTGGTGAAAGAGCTGAATGATTTGTATTTTTTTTAATCTTCAGTGCCAGCTCTTCAGAACTTGAAGTTGCAGCCCAACAAGGGACTGGGCACTTCATGTCCTTCCTCCCACCTATGCTGCGCCCAAGGCTGTATCCGCAGCAGCTCCCTGTGCTGCTGCTTTGTGCTCAGTTCCCATTGATTCTTCTTTAAATGCAAATAGACAGTGTTTTTGTATTGACTGCCTGTGGGTATACATTTTCAGTGAACAAGTTCCCTTTGTGTAGCAATTTCCCCTGCAATTATCCTGCTATAACATGGATGAAAACAAACTTTTCTGTTCTTTTTTTTTTTTTTTTTTTTTTTTTTTTTTTTTGGTTGCTTGCATCAAAACACTCCACCAGGGGGCAAAGATTCTCATTCCCAACTGCTTGCTGTCACCACCACCAGCACCAGCTTTCCCAAACAAACAGCACAAAACTGCCCAGCTCGATCGTTAGAAGATGGCATCACTGCACGAGGAGAAAGTGCCACGTTCTTCCCGACATCTTGCTTTTCTTTTGGGTCTAAATATGCACTTTGTCAGCATAGCTGAGTAGTGACCTGAAATGCAATTCCTATGCACAGCCTGTCCCTGAGAAGAGACATGCCACATGTTTTGGCTGGATAGACAGCTCTGCTTGATACCCTGTTTTTGGCAGGAGAGACTGGCTCACAGCATACACATGTATGATGCTTCCCAATCCATTGGAAAACTTTTTTTTTCCTTACATGAGCAAACCTCAGCAGCTCTCCCTTTTTACAGTTTTAAGCCTGGGACCCAGGTGCCACAACCTGAGGTGTTCAGTTGTGCTGCAGGTTTCTCCACCAAATGCATCCCCACCTGCAACCACCTCTGTATTTTCTATATCTTACCCAACTTATGTTTTGTAGGATCAGTGCTACAAACTCTCAGCATAGCCATAGGGAAGCTGACAGCACACGCATCCCTAAATTTCATTCTCAGATCTGGGGCTTGCATAGAGCATGAGAGCTCCAGCCTTCCACTTTCTCAGTCCTGGCTCTTATACAAAAGCAAAGGAAATGGTTTTTCCCAGCACCTTTATTTCAGTGTGCAGTCTGCCTAAGTGGACTCGAGGTTGTCATTCTGGACTTCATTACTAGTCACTTTTAGTCAAGAAAAAAATTTTTGGCAAGCTATTTATTCTTATCTATAGCTCTAGAGAAGACCATGGATTCCACAAAGTCAAACATGGGTGCTCTTGCTGCCTTGGGCAGTTCAGTGCCCCTTTTCTTGTCTTCTTCAGCTCCCAAACTGAGACATTTCAGCCTTTCTAAAGATGTTTTTGTTGGGAAAAACAACAGTCCCTCTGAAGAAGTTTTCCCCTGATTCTTGCAAAATGTCTATGTATTTGCAGTTACAACCCTAGTTTAATTGAGGTGGTTTTGCTTGAGATGTGCTGACACATCCATGTGCAACCCAAATAGAAAACAGAATTCATAGTTTGTTCAATATTTAGGCCTTCCATATCATAAAGTGAGAGTGCTCTTGCAAGTTCCAACTTTGCTTCTCTTTAAATCAGAAAGTTTTCAGAGAGTTCTCAGGATTTCCCCAGTGGTTGGAAGAAGCTTCCCATCTCAGTCCCCATACCCCAGGCTCTGTGAACCAGCAATTTCCAGGGAGATTGGCCTGAAGTTTCACAGGATGCTTTTAGTTACTGTAGATGTTTGGCCAAACAAACAAAACAATCCAGATGGCTGGATTGAGAGTTGTAATGTGGGTTGGGGTTTTTTGTTTGTTTGTTTGTTTTTGTGTTCCTTTTTTTTTAAATTACAAAGGAGTACAGCATAGACTTTTAAACTGCTGCATTTAAAGACTGAAGGGCCGCATGTGAATTAGCTTCTTTTACCACTTAAAAAGCTAAAAATGTTTGAATTTGGTTCAGATATTTGTATTTGAAAGTCTGTGGATGAGTAATCACAGCAGGCATGCTTTGTTCAAAATTACTTTAAAGGACAAAGGCATTTTCACATTCTAGTCAATCGAGATAACATTTAAAAAAGTGCTAGAGGTGGAACAGCAATGTGAATGTGAGGCTACAATGTCAAAACCATTTGGGCTGCTGGAGGTTTTTTTTTTTTGGCCCAAAAATATGTGCAGTTTGAAAACCAGAAAAATTATTGTTAAGACTCAGAGAAGGGCATGCTGGTATGGTGACTTTCTCCTCAGTAATCAGTTTATCCCCTCTGTGGTGGAGCATTGGCCACCCGAGGTTTTGCATAGGGAGCAAAGGAATGAGTCTCCACACTCATGTGCACTCAGCCCCCCATCCTGCTCTGCTCTGCTCCCTGCCCCGTCTAGGTTTGCTATGGCAGCATCTCTCAAAGCTGTGACTCCTGCTGCAGTGTTTTCAGTCAGCAGGAGGTTTTATTTTTTCTGGTTGACCAATTTGACCAGGAAATCGTGGATGCTGTAAGAACAACACTGGTTCCCTGTGCTGGGAGGTGGGACTCAGCCTTGGTGCCAAGGTCATCTCCATTGAAAAGCCTTTGGAGAGATTTTTATGGGGGAGGACTTTGCTGCATACTGAGTACAAATCATAGAATCATTAAGGTTGGAAAAGACCACCAAAGTCACCTAGTCCAACCACCAGCCCATCACTGCTGAGCCCACTGAGCTGGATGTCTTTCTCTGCAATGCACATGTGATCTGTGCTTCATTTGAGCACACTGTTGCAAACTTAAGAATTATGTACCTTGCTTAACTAAATATTGAGCAGACAGAGCTCTTGAGGTACTGCTTTTCAATAAGCTTCAATAAATAGGGGCACGTATTTTCTCCTCTCTTAAAGCGCTCAATTAAAACAAAAGAAATCAAACCGAAAGTAGACGTTTCAATGTTGGTGAAGGTCTGCTGTAATCTTCTGGATGCTCTGGGAAGCAGAGACACGAAATTGGCACTGTGCTGTTAACCCACTTGCAGCATGGGGGCTGCTAGGGAAGCGTTTCTCATAGTAAGGACTGTGCCTGGATCTGTTGCAGGAAGCTGCTCAAGTTCTCACAGTGAAATTTGGTTGTATTTCTGTTTACTTGCAGGCTCAAGTCAGACTTTAATGTGATCCAAGTAGAAGGTGGTTGAGTTTTTCTGACTTACGTAGGAAGGCATAAGTGCGCAGAAACTTGTAACCTAGAATGAGATTGAGGTTTGGTTCATGTGCGAGATGGAGAACTGCATGTTTTTTTCTGATAAATGACTTTGTTTTGCATATCTCTTTCTGTCAGTCTATCAAAATGTGTCACTGGGGAATTTAATTGTACCCAGCATTAACCGGTGGCAGCAAAACTGTGATTTATATATTTACTTACGTGCACGCAGAAAGCCTGATCAAAGAAAGGAGAAAAATTGATGGAAAACACCCACTCAAAGACCAATAACCGTCTGTTCTCTCTCTCTCTCTCCGCTCGCTTTCTTCCTTACAGCAACCACTTGAAAGGAAAGACAGCCAAAACAGTTCTCAGCACAGCGTCTCCAGCCACCGCAGCGGGCACACCGCGTCCCCGGCTCACAGCACACAGGTGCTGCCCGAATACCCCGCCGCCGAGCCGCCGGCTGCCGACCAACCCGACGCTTCTGGGCAGAAAAAGCCAGATCCGTTCAAAATCTGGGCCCAGTCCAGGAGCATGTATGAAAGCCGACGTGAGTATAAAACAGGTGTGGTTGCTAAGGCTACGGCTACGGCAGCTGCGCTCTCTATATTTTCTTTGCAAAGAGCTGCGTCTTTTAGATCTGTATTGCAAATAGAAGGCTTTGGGGTGTTAATCTATCTGCCAGTGATGCCTGCCTGCTGGAGGGGCATTTTCATTTCTGGTGAGGAACGAACTTCGATCATCTCTAGAGAGAGGTGCTTAGACCAAAGCTTAATACCAAGTATCCCATTAAAATGAAAGACTGCTTTTTTTGTTTTCCCTTTTTTTCTTTTTCTTGCTTGTAAATTAAGCTGAAGGAAAATTTCCAAGTTTATTAGCCAGATCTTGAATTCTTTTTTGAGGCTAGGACTCATTGATATGCACAGGGATTTCAGTGAGGAAGGGAAGTATTTAGTTTGCTGAAATACATATCAGATGCTTTCCAGTCTCACTCTAGGGAGGAGAAAATCCAGCTAAGCTATTTTAGTTTGACCAAAGCAGACGCTGTTAACAATGCAGATATCAAATGCATATTGTAAGTGGCTTTTATGGCAATTAATAATCTGCATACTTGGCTAATAGTTCAGAAGGACTTTGACTCTTCTCCAAGGCTACAAATGTGGTTTCAATCAGTTTCTTCTCTGCAAACAAAATAAACATTCTGGCTTTGCTTTAATTGCACTGCTGAAGATGATCAAATCTGCAACAAATTCTTTAAGAAAGAGTTAAAGAGTTTTAGGTTCATTTCCAAGGGCAGTAGTTTCTGTAGTTACTGTAAAGACAGATTCAAAGTCTTGGTACCGTAAGAGTTTACTTTGATTCTCTGCTAACTGGAAATTGGTAGAAATGATCTGCAATGAACACTACCCCAGAATGAAAAACGGTAGAACTGTTTTTTTTCTGACCAAATGAATCACTTCTAGATCTTATGTCCTGGAAAAATTAAACGATGAGTCACGGTTTCTTGGCTGAAGATGCATCTCTTCATACTGAGTATCTCAGCCATGCAGTTTGTAGGTGTCTTAGCTTCTGTGCTTTGCATGCTTTCCCTCTCCAGGGTCTAGGTGCACTCCTGACTATGAAGGCTCTTGGGCTGGCTGTGCTGATCTACAGAGAAGTGCTGGGACTGAACTTGTATGCTTGTCTCATTGAAATGTTGAAAATGGGCAGAAAGAATAGGGATAGGGTTTTCAGCCCCACAGAGCTGTGGGCAGAGCCCCTCCTAGCCCTGCCTAGATGACTGAGGCACCAGCATCACCCTTGCTCAGCTTGCATTCCCATAGGCACTCTACAGGCATTGCCTCTGAACCCCTGCAGCTACTTCGCTAATTTCTAATTAACAGTTTAACTCATACTAATTAGTCATTAGTATAAGCCTAACAGCATTAACTCCTGCCTGTCTTTCCCGATAAAATCCTGAGGCTGAGGCAGAGAAATCCTGAAAGGCACATTCAAGCTGTCACCTTCAGTGTCCTCCTGCAGCACCACGGCTAAATTTCTCTTTCCTCAATGGCTGCCAGTATCTTGTAGAGGTTTTGTCCTTGTTTGTGAGCAGAGCCCTTCCAGAGTCTGTTCCTCATCTCTTGACCTGCTGATTTCCCACACCCATCTATCCCTCTGCCACAATCCTCTCTGCTTCAGCCTTTTGCTGTGCTGGATCTGCTCTGGCCCTGCAGCTTCCCTCTTGCATCTTTCTATGGCCAACATCTCCACGTAGTGAGGTCAGTCCTCTTCTTTTGCTTCAGTTCATATCTCCTGCCTCTCTTCCAGATGAGACCTACCTGTTTGGACATCCATGCTTTGCTACCAGAATTTTGTCCTGTTGCTATTTCCTTACCGGGAAAGCATATTTGGAGATTTATTGGTTTCATACATCTGTTTCTTCTTTATGAGAATGTCAGAAGTGCAATGATATCGTATCTCCTTGCACATGCCACCAGGAACATCAGAGAGCTAATGAGTTTTAGCCTCTAAGCTGAAGTGGAACCTGTTCCCTGGGGATTAGTCTATGCTCTCACCTTGTGCTGATGCTTTGCTGCACCAAATGGAGGGTGAAGGAAACCAGTAAGGCAATAGCAAGGCCGATAGACACACTGTATTTCTTCTTGTAGTCTGATCCCAAAACATTACTGATGGTTTCATTTATTGATCAGGGGTCAACTCTTTTTCCAGCCCCCAGCAAGCCCTTACCTTTCACCCCACTCCTCAGTCTCCTCAGTGGAGATTGTAGTTCATAGCTGAAACCCTGCACCTCCTCGTCCTGAGAAGCTTGGGGTGAACCACCGTGTTTCCTTCCCCGTGTCCAGTCTGCATGAAAAATGGACAAATATTGGCTGCTCTGTGAAAAAAGTGAATTATCCCTTGGAGACTCACTTCCCAGCAGTCTCTTGTAGGGAGCACCCTACAAGCTGTGGGATTGGAGAAACCATTCCCTGGGCCTCCAGCTTCACTGTCTCCTTGACCTATGTGGTTCTTTGTGTTTTCACCCAGCTGCAGTTCAATTCAAACCCAGTTCCTTCATTGCCTTCTGGTGGGGCAGTCATAGTTCTTTGCTTGAGGACCCGTTCCCGTTGGCTTTGAGGCTGAGGTTGGCATCCCTTCTCCCTTAATGTCTCCTGATTTGGGTGATAGGTGTGAATTTCTGAATTCTTCTGATAAAGAGCATCTGTTACGTAGCAGGAGGATGTCACCCTTTTGCCAGAGCTGAGGTTGGCTGATGCATCCTTTGTCTGGATGAGTCCAGGTTGGCTCTCCTTGCTGACCAAAGTAGGGCTTGCTGCCTGTTGATTCACTGCCTTGTATTTTCAACAAGCCTGAAAGAGATAATACTTTCAAGAGGCTGTTTTGAATCCCCAACAATTGTACTGAGAAACAGAAACACCATGTTGAAATACATGATGAAGATAAAGAAAATTTCAGAGCATTAGATCATCATCATCAGTGTTTTATTTAGTCCCATTAGAGTCTAAAGAGAACACAGTGCAGTTTTTTTAATGCAGTTTACATTAAAAAATGAATTTTTAGCCACATCTCAGCCAGAATTTTTTTTTTCTATCTAAAAAGAATAATATAAAGAGGCTTAATTCAACATGTGAATACATTTTCTCCAAGATGTTTCTAAAAAGTTCTGAATCTCTAATGACCACCTACTGTCTTTTTGACTGTGAGTGCATCCCTCTGTTATTAATGTTAATGGTGTGGACATGGGAAGCACACAGGCAACCATTTAATTTTTCAGGATTGGTAAAGTGCATTCTTCATTTCTTTGACTTCTTTTTGGATCACTGTTTAATAAAAGAGAGTTGTATTTGGCTTATCTGGCTTGTCTCACTGAAGATGTTGGCAGATCAGAATTTGGTTGAAAAGTGCTGAATGACCCATAATTTTGTAAAACCTTGTATTTTTCAATTTTCCCAATGCATCTTAATATCAGGAAGCATTCAGATTCTGTGGAGGAGACCTACAGACATTGCCTAGGAAAAAAAAAAAGAAAGAAAAAAGATGAAAGGAAGAAGAAAAATAGAAAAATTAAGCTAGAATTAACAGTGAGAAGCTAAGTGATGACTCTACAACTGTGCCCGGGCTCTGGCTGAACAGCAGCAAAATTGAACTGCAACCTTAAGGTCCTTCGCACGCTGCTCCCCTAAGTGGGGGGATCAGCCCTCCAAAGTGCTCAGGGCTCAGGCTGCTGTCCAACAAAGCTTAATTTTAAGCTGTAAACCGAAAGGGACTTGGGTGCTTTAAGGCTAAGACTGAGCTCAAATGCTCTGCTGCAGTATGGCCCTGAGTTGCAATGCTTGCAGGATTAAGGCTTTCAAGAATAGCCAGCCTTGTGGTGAGTGAATTTGAAAACAGGTCTTTTGGTGGTGGGAACAAATGCAATCTTTGCTGGTGCAGAGTTTCAGCTGCCTGAGCTCCTGTGGATGGGTGACTCGCTGCTGCCCATGGGAGCTGTGCTCATGAATCAGAGAGAAGGATGAGCCCTCGAGGCTTAAAACATGGAGCAGTTCCAAGACCCAGGAATGATATGCGTGGAGAGCACTCAGTGAGACAAACAGTAATTGAATAGTTTACGAGAGAGCTGCAGTTCTGAAATCCTGTACTGTTTTATTGAAAATATATTTTTATAATATGCTTTTTATTTTTCAACGTATTATTAAACTTCCTCAAAGATTAACACAATCTGTTGTCAAATTTTTCTCATGTGGCCTGATTGCTTTGCAAAATACCATATCCTACATATGGCCATCTGTCAAAACAGCAGTGACAAAATGAATTAATCTGAATTGCAGATGTGTTAATGAATCCCTTTGAAGGGCTTAAGTGTTTAATTAAAAGCAAAGCAGAACACTATGGATAATTGTTAAAGCTTTTAAAATATTCTAATTTATCTTTAATATTAGAATTTTATTTTCAGGCACGTGATTTATTTGGTAGGATTTTCTCTTCCCAGATCTCATTAAAATAATACAAACAAGGCATGACCTCAGTGTGTAGCATTCACTTGCAAGCAAGTACATAGAACTAAAAATATTTGCACAGTGGTACCAAACATTCGATACTTCCTAACTTCAGTATAGAGAAAAGAAATGCTTGCAGGAAATTGCAGCCACCTTCTGGTCAGGCTGACTTAAAGGCAGTAGTGAAGGGCCCCTTGCTCTCCTGTTGAATGAATGGGGGGCAGCACTCAGAGCCATGCACTTGAGCACACAGGTGTGGAGGATGTCTGGTTAGGAGAGGGCTAATTTTTGTGCAGTAGGATAGTTTAGAAAGTGGGGCTCTCCTGCGAATGAGGAATCTCATGGGATTTATGGCAAAATCACAGGTATTTTCAGCGCTGAAACTCTCCAGCAGCTCCAGTGAGACTATCCATTTGTAACTTCAAGTGTGTCCTTATGTACTGTACTGAATCTGGGCTTTAAAACTCCAGCATGCTGCCAAGATGTGAGTCACTGGAAGTGTTGCCTCCTCAAATGAGCTAGTGACTAAAGCAAGCTCATACTGATATTTCTGAATCCATCCTTTCTCGAAGCTGATATCAAACAGAATTTTTTTATATGTAACATGATAAGTGCTAAACTTTATATAGGAGAAGTTTAATTAAAATCACCCCTAATTAAACACTGATTTCATTGTTCATCACCGTGCATTTAGAATGACTTTTAACGTTAGAGAAAGAAATTTCCATTTGGAAAACTTGCTGTGTTGTAATGCTGATTTTTGTTTGGCAGAAAAGTATTTTTAAGGACAGAACAATGAGTCTCAAATATGCCTGCATGCATATGCATAAATGTATAAATTCATATGTGTGTGTATAATGTATCCACGTGTACACAGACATGTACAAGTAGATGTAGAAGTTGGTATGTAATTATTTATAGAGCTATAACCTTAGCAATTATGTGCATGCAAGCCTAACACGATCCATACAGTCAAAATTAATGAAATGAACTAACAAGAAAGCAGATACATTAAGCTTTGCAAAACTGTAAAATTAATATTACAGCTATGTCACCTTCGCCTGCAACTGGACTGAGCAAGGGTGAGAGAGAGAGAGAAATCAATTCCACGAGTTTTGGAGAATGTAAGACTGTGCCGGGAATGTATCTGTGTCCCATGGTGTTTTGTTCTGGTCTCATTACTGCTCTGTGGTGGGGCCCTTCATCACCAGGGCAGTGTGGAAGGTTGGCCATGGAGGTGCAAGGCACTTGCTTGGCTGCATACTGGCTGGTGGTGGGGATGTCACCTTCCTGTTTCCATCCTGAACCTTTCCTCAGGGCTATTTCACTCACACCTTCCATCCTTTCTTCTAGCCCCAACACAACACTTCTTACCACATTTGTAAGGCTCTCCAAGCAGTCTGGTTTAGGACAAGAGTGGAAAGTTTTACCCCTTTGGGCTGCATACATGTTTGTATCATCTCAATGTGCTAAGTTGTTATTAATTTCTCCTGGAGATGTCTTTTTCATTTATTTTAAGCCTAAGAGTTCAACACCACCATGAAATTTTCCCTTTAAATAGGGAAGGTGAGGCACAGGGCACAGGTGGATGCGCCGTCCCTGGAGACACCCAGGGTCAGGCTGGATGGGCTCTGAGCACCTGATGGAGTTCTAGGTGTCCCTGTTCACTGCAGGTTAGTTGGACCGGGTGGCCCTTAGTGGTCCCTTTCAACTTATGATTCTGTGATGAAGTGCTGCTGATGTGATTCTCCAGCACGGCCCCAGTCATGTGGGAGCACAGAGGTGGTGGGATGTATCACAGTGCATCTCCTACTGCAGAGCTGGAGCAAAAAGTGGTAAAAGGAGTTCTGTTGGATTTGTATTCACACTGTGTGTTGTCTGTGTGTTTGTTGTGTCTGTGTTTCACTTTCCTGTGATCCTTCTGTGAATGAACTTGCTGCTTTGGGTGTAGACGTGCGTGTTGTTGGCCCTACACCACACCCCGGCGTGACGCTGTTCCCTGCGGCCACTCATTGGCTCATGGTGCCAAACTGGGAGCATACGGCACCGCTCAGCAAGGCTGGAGAGATGACAAATGGGAAGGTGTTGAGAGAGGCCGAGAAAACAGGCCCACGCTGCAGCTCTCTGCAGAAGCCATTTTGCCTCTGACAGATCCAACCTGTGCTATTAATTGGTTGGGGCCAGCCTTTGCCAAAAAAAGCCTGCAAAGTGCTGGAGAGGCGCTTCCCAGTGTGTCTGCTCTTCACGCTCCCACTCACTGAAGTCAGTGACAAACAGCAATTAATTCATTGTCTGAGTTCTGCTGTCAGGCTGTCCCTGCGATGGCAAGCTGCCTTCAGCCAAACTGATGTGCAGCAAAGACTTCCAGCGTGCTCCTCACCTGGTTATTCTGTAATTGTAGCTGGGTGGAAATGAGCCTGTGGTTCAGCAAGGGAACGTGCAGAGGTCTCAAGCTTGGTTTGTAGCCGCAAATGCCTAAAGTGTGAAAATATTTTATGTAACACCAGTGGCTGTGAACCAGTTTGAATCAAAATGTCAAACCAGATATGTGCCTGAGCACTCACCTGTTCTTGCAATTTGCAGTGCTTCCAGGTCTTAAGTTCCTGTTTTTTAAACCCAGTGATAAGTCATTGAGGAGAGAACATCAGAGCCAGCCAAAAGCCTTAACACTGAAAAGCACCAGAAGACCAAACCCAAACCAGCAGGCAGTAGTGCTGTAAAATGCAGTTAGGACCCTATTGGGCACTCCCCAGTGTTAATGGAAAACAAATCATTTATCTGCTGATAGATAGAGCTGCACTTTCTGAAATTATCTTTTTGGCTAATACACTTTGCTTTCTTTACTAAAGCCATAGGCTGACTTGTAAAGGAATAGCCTTTTTGATCATCAACTATAAATTTTGGGAGGGGATTGTTGCAAAATTAGTCAATGTTATAGATACCCACTAATAAATATTAAATGAACCTGAACTTGTCTTCTGATATGATTTAATGTTAGCAATTAATTTTGCATTTTAAAAAAGGGATGAAAGCAGCCATGAATAAGTTAATATGAAACATTTCTGTTCAACTGCACGTCAAGGTTAGTGCTTCGCTGTATGTAATATTCATTGTAAAAACCTCACTGGTGTTCCATACTAATGAGTAGGTAAGGCTGGTCTTTCTTCATGCTTCCAGCTGGTTTTGTCTCTTCAGTGGTTTTATAAAACCCATACACGAGCAAGTAGAAGTCTGGAGAGCTGCACTGTTTCCAGAGGAACCCTTCTGGTTTACACCAGTCGGGGATCTGTCCTGCCATTATTTGAAGCGGTGTCAGCAGACAGATAGCAAACTATGCTTTTGAAAGTTAATTAAACAGTAGAAGTCAGAACAAGTGGGTCTTTTGTCTCCAGTGAAAGAGGAGGCAGCTGTATTGTTTCTGGCAGAGTGATTCTGTGTTGTACACACACATGTATTGATGGTTTGGAAGAGGCTTTTGCACTGGGTAATGGTGCTAATATCAATGGGAGGAAAAAGTACAGTGATAAAATCAATTAGACAACCAGAAAGCAGGAACTGTGGGATAATTTTTTCATAGTGATTTAAGTAATAATCCTTTACAACTTTAACCTATAGATGTTCTTAATTAAGTCTGAAAGTTCAAGACCACCTCATTTAATGATTAAAATTGTGCAGCAGGTTCTTCTACATTTACGTCAGAGTAGTCCTGATATGGGTATGTAGTTCTGTTTTTTTATTATAACTAATATCTTTCTTTCTTTCCTACAGTTCCAGATTACCAAGAGCAGGATATCTTTCTATGGAGAAAGGAAACCGGTTTTGGATTTAGGATTCTGGGTGGAAATGAGCCTGGAGAACCTGTGAGTACATCTAGAAGTAGGCTTGTTTTAATTCCTCTTGTCTTCCAGAATCACAGCAATAGCACATACAACTGTGCACAGCTGCACTGTGGCATCCTTGTTAAAGTAAGCAGTGATTGATTAGATATATCTCACAACTCCTCCCTACTTTCCTCACCAAAAAAACAAACTAACTCAAATCCTCATATGTGAAATGAGTTTGACTTCCTTTGCTATTCCCGTTTTTTAAATAGACCAATAGCTCTGAAATGGATTGGACATTGAGGAAAAGATGTCCTGGGCAGGTTTGCAAGTAGTATCCATTAATCCCTCTCATACCAGAGCAACTCAAAGTAAACAGGCCAATGGTACTGAACTTTTAAACCCTGGAGGCACCTGGAAGGATAACCCAATCTCAGCTCCCTGACAGGAATCTCAGGGCTTGTAACCACTGGTCACTGTCCTGTTGAACACATTTCCCAAGGCTGTCTGTCAGTAGAGCAACTGGACTGCCTAAAGCAAAAAGATGTCAGCATCCTGCTTGCAGTTGAACATGAGGCTGTTTTCCGCACTAGCAACAATCCTAACCAGTTATCAACAATTTCTGGTTCCCACTGCAATAGCGTACCTCTTCCTTTCACCTGGCTAATGAGCGTTCGTGGTTCTCATTTTATCTTTCTTTCGTCCTCTTTGTGCCATCCTGTCAGATTTACATCGGTCACATTGTACCGCTGGGTGCTGCTGATGCTGACGGCCGCCTGAGGTCGGGCGATGAGCTGATCTGTGTGGATGGGACACCTGTGGTTGGGAAATCACACCAGCTTGTGGTCCAGCTTATGCAACAGGCGGCCAAGCAAGGTCACGTCAATCTGACCGTCAGGCGCAAAGTAGTTTACACAGGTAGGCTGCAGTGTCCATCAGTGGGATGGATTTTCTTGCCACACTCCATCTGTTCAGCAAACGGTTTAAAGAACAAAAGCTCCTCTTTGTAATGCTGGGAAAGCTCAGGGAGTGTGCTGTTACTCTTGTGGCTGTTTTTAGCCTTTTGTCTTTTTTATTCTTAGTCAAATGGATATCAGATACTTTGTTCCTAGTCATGATCGTCTCCATTTCACTTGTGTTTTCTAGTCTTCGTAAATGTTTCTGTTAAGATGGGGAAGTGTTCGATCACAATATATCCTTTATGTTATGTATGTAAAATATCAGGCATATGCAGAAAAACAGGCAGTAATGTACTTCAGGTTTCAAGAATATTAATACAACAGGTTGAAAATTAGACCCACAATGGAGGCAGTACCTCTAAAAAAAGTCTTTATTCTTATCCAGGGCTGAGTGCCTTCCACACAATATTAAATAATTGTTCACTTCCTATTCTTTCCTTCTTCCCCTTGTGGGTTAAATGCTGAGTTATATCCCTGCTCTGATAGCCTACATCATAGGAGTGTATGTCATTCCTGACAAAGAGAGGGAAGTTGTAGGAGATGGGGGTTGAAAGGAAGAGAGATGCAGCTGAATTTTGGTATCGTCTTTGTGCGTGGATTTTATATCTAGTTTTACAGCTTCCAGGCTGGAAATTATGAAAGATTTAGATGCATGAAAGATTCTGATATAAACCCTTGCTATTTCATTCAGGGGATTGTGCAGAGCTATTTCTGTATCATTTCAAATCTGGACACTTACTCTAGGATAAATTATTCAGTATCCCTTTTTTCACCTTATATTTGCAGACCTTCAAATTCCAGCATAACTTTCCTGAATTTTGGTCCCCTTGCTGCTCCTCTCATCTACATTCCACTAGAAAAAGTGTTCACTAAATGGGTACTCCACGGCCTGAGATCCATATAGGGGGAATGTTTATGCACTCATAATATGTAGAATATATTAATATGTAGAATATATTCTTAATATGTAGAATATTGTGTGTTTAGTACATACTTTGAGCATGTAAGTGCTATCATGTACTCTCAAGAATATTTTAAAGTTCGTTTTCCTTTGAATCATGGGTTTATAGTTTGGATTTTGCTTGGCATCCGTTTTGTTGTTGCTGTTGCTTTTAAGATTTTCAACTTAGTTTTGATTTACCAGACAAACTGGAGAAACAACAAGCAACCTGGCTAACGGAGTCAGGCATTCCATAGGGACAGGTGCAATATGCTGCTCTCAGCTGCAGAATTGGACTGTGGAGATCTGGCTGGGTAATCAGAAGTGGAAATTATCATGGGCCACTCTTCATACCTGGGGTTGGCTCAGGTAAAGAACAACATTGTGCTGGAATGTAAGCAGTGGGGAACTCTCCTGCTTTCCCAGCAGATGATGTCTCAGCTGCAACATGGTCCAACACTTCAGGAAAGATATGTTTGAGTTGGAAAGGACCCAACTGGAGCAGGTCCAGAGGACCAGGGAGAATAAGGAAAGCTTTCGAAAACATGGTCTGCGAGGAAATATTGAACAAATTGGGATTGTTTAGCCTAAAGCAGAGAGGGGGGAGGAGGTGTTAAACTCCCTGAGACTATAAGAGGCTGCCGCAAAGAGGGAGAGAATAATATGTTCTCCATATGCCTGCGAGATAAAACTAGAAATAATAGCCTTATGTTGCAGCAGGGAAGATTTAAGTTAGATATTACAACCAATAGATTGCCTGGGGAGATATTTAACAGCAGATTAGACAAACATCTGTCAAGACTGACAGTAAGTATAGCTGGCCCAGGCTTCAGCAGTATGGACTAAGAGATTTTTCGAGATTTCTTCAAGCCTTGTGGTAGCTGATTAGATTTTAAACTAATACCAACTTCACTTGCTGTTAAATACTTGTTTAATATTAATGTTAATGTTAATAATGTTCAAAGGTTCCCCCCAACTGTGCCAGACTGTACAGATGAAAATTGCTTGTTCTTCCATCCAAAAGAGCTTAGTTCACAAATTATTTTGTTGTAGTATGGTAGTTATTTGTATCAAGATCATGTTAATTAAAAACAATCAGTGCTATCCAGTTAAAAAAAAAAAATAGGTGTTGAGTGATACATGTTTGTCTAACTCTGTATCCCCATGGCTTATGCACATAGAAAGGCTACAACACTGGTAAAGGGTCTGGAGCACAAGTCTTATGGGGAGCATCTGAGGGAACTGAAATGGTTCAGTCTGGAGAAGAGAAGGCTCAGGAGAGACATTATTGCTCTCTATAACTGCCTGAAAGGAGATTGTGATGGGGTGGGGGTCAGTATCTTCTTCCAGCTAATGGTGACAGGACAAGAGGGAATGGCCGTGTGTTGTGCCAGGAGAGGTTAGATATTAGGAAAAATTTCTTCTCAGAAAGAGTGGTAATACATTGAAACAGGCTGTCCAGGGAGGGAGTGGAGACACCATTCCTGGAGGTGTTCAAGTAAAGGGTAGATGTGGTACAGAGGAACATGATCTACAATGGTCATGCATGTGTTGACAGTTGGACAAGCTCATCTTCTATAATTCCATGACATATGTAACTGGAGTGGGGATATGGTATCTAAAGGGACAGCTTCAACTTAATGTAATCCAAGCTGAAATGGCACAGGGCATCCATGCGTGCACTGAATTGATCTGGTTATGGCAGTGGAAGGCTTTGGCTGCACGGCCATACACAGGAGAGGATTGAGGGTATGTGGTCAGTGCTGCCACTGAACAGAGCTAGTGCTAAGGAAAGGAGATGGAGAACAGAACCCCTGGTTGTTCTGGCTGTGACTGGTAGATTAAAGCAGGTACTGTCCTTTTTTAATTCCTTCTCTCAGCAGTCAAGCACTGAACAGCACAGCTCGCTCAGCCACTCTTGTTTTTTTCCTTCCCCAGTCCCCAAGGCAGAAAATGAAGTCCCATCCCCAGCCTCTTCCCACCACAGCAGCAACCAGCCGGCCTCACTGACGGAGGAGAAGCGAACGCCGCAGGGCAGCCAGAACTCCCTCAACACTGTCAGCTCGGGCAGCGGCAGCACCAGCGGCATCGGCAGCGGCGGCGGAGGCGGCAGCGGCGTGGTCAGCGCCGTGGTCCAGCCCTACGATGTGGAAATCCGCCGTGGTGAGAACGAGGGCTTCGGTTTCGTCATCGTCTCGTCGGTGAGCAGACCGGAGGCGGGGACGACGTTCGGTAAGTCTTGGGGTTTGGCACCGCGCCTCGAGCGAGACGCGGGTTGTAGTGCCGCAGCTCAAGGAGGCAAGTGGGGATGTTTAATTAAAAGTCACGAGGCTTGCCCTAATTTGTGTAATTAATAGTTTAATTAGAGGCTGAGACGTAGTAGGTGTTTGTCTCCTGGGTTTTGTTCAGCACTGAGTCACGTAAAGCAGAACGTGGCCATTCCCCATGCGGGCTGGACCCCTTCCTGGGGTTCGCTCTTGGAAGAGCAGCCAGGGTTCCCCTCAAAGGTGCTGTTTTCTGATGTGGAAAGGCAGCAAGTGGAAGGAAATACGTCTTCTGATGGTGGAATTGAGCCATCACTAAAAGCAGTAATGCCTCAACTGATTAACTTCTTTTTGGGGATCAGGGATTATTCTGATCCTCATTACAGAATGAGCATGCTGATAGCTGGGAAGTTTTAATTAATAGTCCTTGCTAGTGAGAAATAAAATTGAGATTTTTTTATTTTTTTAAGAAAAAAACATGATTTTTTCTTACCCATTCCACTTCGTCTCCTCCTCCCAAACCCAGTTCTTCAGAGTCAGGAGATACTATGCTCATGCAGCATCACACATGGTATTCTGACCTTGCAGGGATGGCTGCGTTTTCTTCTGACCACTCTCTTCTTATAGACAGGCACTTGTCGCACAGGCACTAGTGAGGTTTAACAAGGCCAAGAGCAAGGTGCTGCCCTTGAGTCGAGGCCATTCCATATAGGACTACAGACTGGGAGAAGAACTCATTGAGAGCAGCCCTGCAGAGATGGACTTGGGGGTCCTCATGGATAAAAAGCCACACGTGAGCCAGCAGCATGTGCTTGCAGACCAGAAGGCCAGCAGTACCCTGGACTGCATCAACAGAGGGGTGGCAGAGGGCGAGGGAGGTGGTTGTCCCCCTCTGCTCTGCCCTCCTGAGGCCCCATCTGTAGTACTGTGTCCAGGCCTTGGGCCCCCATCACAACTGGGATGTGGGGCTGTTGGAGCAGGTCCAGAGGAGGGCCACAGAGATGATCAGAGGTCTGGAGCATCTCTCCTGTGAAGATAGGTTGAGGGAGCTGGGCTTGTTTAGCTTAGAGAAGGCTCCAGGGAGATGTTATTGTGGCTTTGCAGTTCTTGAAAGGAGCTTACAAGCAGGAGGAGGACAATTTTTTACACGGTCTGATAGTGACAGGACAAGGAGGAATGGCTTTGGAGGAATGGCTTTAAACTAAAAAAAGGGAAAATTTAGGTTAGATGTTAGGAAGAAATTTTTTATTCAGAGGGAGATGAGGCCCTGGCACAGCTGCCCAGAGCTGTGCCCCATCACCAGAGGTGTTCAAGGCCATGGATGGGGCCATGGGCAGCCTGAACTGGTGGGGGGCAACCAGCCCATGGCAAAGATTGGAAAGAAGATGATCTGATCTTTAAGGTCCCTTCCAAACTAAGCCGTTCTGTGATTCTGTGACATGATTCTTTGCTTGTTGTCAGGTGTTGGTGCAAGAGAGGTGTGATTCTGTTTGCCCAACAAATGAGTTACATATTGCAAACGATGAATAAGCTGGCTTTGCAGGTGTGCACAGGGCAGCCTCCTTTAAAGCAGAGATGTCACTGCAAGGGGGAAACCATTCTGAAATGCTCCTTTCTTTCCTTCCCGTGGTCTTCAAAAGGCAGCATCCACTTTGACTTCACAGGGGAAAAAACTGTTCTCTCCCTGTTGGTCTGTGATGTGTGTTGTGGATGGAGGAGGAATTGAAGAACAGAACAGGTGCTCTGGCCATATTCCCACTGTGTCTCAGAGCAGGGCTGTGCTTTGTAGACAAAATACATTGCAGTCTCCTTGTAAAGCTTGAATGTTTCTGGGACATGCAGGATCTGGGCAGTCAGAGCAGCAGAGGTTGCAAGGGTGAAATGTCCAGCGTAGACTTCATCTAGTGAGCTCTGTCAGTTCTCAGGTGCTAGGCTGCCTTTATGCTGTCCTCATTGCTGGAAACTGCTCTTCCAGAGTGGATATTTTGGTGCCCGAACACAACAGTGCAATGCAATATTCATTAAACTGAACTCAGTCTAAACTGGAGAGAAAGCTTTTAACTTCTCAAAGCATTTGCAAACATGCAGTAGTAACTCTTGCTGTATGAAAACTATGCTCTAACTATTTTCTGCAGAGAAACCTTAATGTGAGACTGTAAAGAGTTGTGTTTGCTTTAGCCCAAGATACTCTCTAACTGGAAGTTTTCTGTACAGGGACTCCTCATGGAGATCTGTTGATCTGTGACTGTTTTTCCTTTAATTTTTTCAAGCATATTCAGCTTTTTCCCAATACTCTGCATGAGATGTGTTCCCTCTCCTGTGTGGTGCTTGCTCTGTACTTGCTTTGTAGTTTTTCCTTTCACAAGTAGTATGTAGAGATGGGCCAAACTGGTTTTAAAACTCACCTTGGTCACTTTGGTGTGGGCTGGGCCATCAGTGTCCATGGGGTTGGACTGAGTAGAAACTCATTTCTTCCTTCAGGAACTCGTTTCAGGCGCCTGTAACAGAGCCTTTAAACTGAATGGGGTTTATATTACCAGAAAGGGAAACTTTCTAACATTACAATAAAACGACAATAACAGGAAGTCCCCCAGCCATTTGCAACTAACATTAATGATTTCTGCTAGTTTTCATCCCACCTTTCCAACCTTGTTCTCTTTCACTTCATGTTCCTTTTCTTCTTTATGGTATTTCTGGTATTTCATGCATGCAGCAGTGCTTATCTCTAAAACTACTAATCAAAGATAACAGCACAGATGAGAAAGTGCATCTTGAGGGTGAATGTATCGTGCAGCAATGAGTTTGGTATCTGTATTTGCCTTCCATTTTTTCCCTGCTTTTCTGGGTGTAGTTTATCTCATTTTCTAATGTTTCTTAACCAGAAACATAATTCTAAAAAATTGAAGGACGAGAATCTCTCATCATCTCCTGAGTCCATGGTATGAAGAAAAAATAACAACCAACACTTCCACATGTATATGTGAAGCACTGGATGACCACTCTGCATACCTCATCCTTTTCACATGCACTGCATGCCCAGGAGCTTTGTGCCCATACAGGGAAGCCAGATGGAAGCTTAATGCATTTATCTGAGTTATGTTTTGTATCTCCTGTGTCCCAAATCTGATTTTGAGGAAGACTGTGTCTCTGGGGCCAGGCAGTTGCGTGGAAGAGGAGGGGAGTTTTGTTTTCAAAACACATTCATCTCAAAGTGCTCTTGCTCTGTGTGTCAGACATCTCCATGGTTCTGCCTGTGGTTTTAGAGGTGTTTACATCAGAATGCCCTTATTCCCATCCCTATGCCTTCTTGGATTGTAGAAGGCAAAGAGTTAACAGGGACTGAGGGGAATGCCTGCACCAAATGGGTTACCTTTGTCGGTCTTGGCCCATCTGTAGTGGTCCTGTGCCTTCCCTGGTAGTACCTTTGTTGCAATGGAAGAAAACTGTTCTGTGTTGCTTCCCCATCCAGTGCTGATAGACTGAGGTTTTGTGGTGGAAAGGGAGCCACACTCCCTCCCAGGGCTAGAAGGATTTAATCTTTCTAAATGGAGAAAGAACAAAACATTGGCAGAAGCTTGAACAGCAGTTGATTTAGAGAGAGACTTGAGAGGCTGACACCGATGTAATCTTGGGGGAGGAAGGTTGTGTTTTCAGCACACAGTTTCAATTTTTTGGTACAAAAATAAAATCAGGATGCGGGTTGCTCTGGGGCTGCTAAATGCAGCTGTAGTCCGTAAAAGCTCACAGAAATCAAGGGGGAGGGAGATTGGAGGGATTAACAGACACCTTTTTATAAAAGAAGTATTGTGCACTCATACTAGTTGATTGCCAATGTTTTGAACAATGGCAGCAAAGCTATCCTATAATAACTTTTGCTTGATGCATTAATTAATTAACCCTTAACCTTCTCTTTCCCTTTTCAACCCTTTTTCTCCTTTTCCCCTTCACCATATTCCCACGTATGTAAACAATTAAAACCAAACCAAAAAAAAAAAACAAAAAACAAAAAACAACCCCCAAACCAATACAAAAGCGGGAAATGCATGTGTGGCCATGCCTCACAAAATAGGTCGGATAATTGAAGGGAGTCCCGCAGACCGCTGTGGCAAGCTGAAAGTAGGCGATCGCATCTTGGCCGTCAATGGGTGCTCCATCACCAACAAGTCGCATTCAGACATCGTCAACCTCATTAAGGAAGCGGGAAACACCGTTACTCTGCGCATCATTCCAGGAGATGGTAAAGTATCTGTTCCCTGCTGTCTTTTCTGACCCTTTTGTTGCTTTGTTCCTGGGCTTTTCTCATCTGTCAGAGCTGCAGAATTGTAAAGATTTCGTCTCCCGCTTGGGGAATTGGAGCCCAGGGGTTGTGAGTGTTCCATAGCTTATTTTTTTTCTGTAGGAGTGCTGTTTTCTCGACAGGGCTAAAGTGATTCCCTATTTAAAAAATCATTATTATATTCCCTTCTATTGTGTTTCTCCAAGTATCTCCTTAAAACGATCTCTAAATTTGATGCGTATCTTGGTACTCTCTGGTTTGATTCTTAGGTTAATGGTACAGCTTTAGAATATTTGAGAACCGCTGCATGCTCAGTGACTCAGTATGTGGGATCCCTGAGGCTTTCCACAGTGTCTAAAGAGATCACAGAAAGGGATAAACACTTTGTCATGTTTTAAGCTTTTTGAAAAGAAGATTTGTTTTTATTCCGTGTAAGTTGCTCTTTGAAGTGATTTCAGTGCATTTGGAAATGCCTTTATTAATGGCAGTGGCTCTGGAGATGCTTTGCAGCTGATAAGGAGTTTCCCTGGACAGGAAGGATCTCATTGCTTCTGATGAGAGGGAACGTGCAGGATCCCTGATAACGTGCTGACACTTGGTGCTAATTTCTGCTCGTTAAACTGTTCAGTAAAAGTGAAGATCTGTGTTATGTATCATATTTTCATGAAACGAATCCCTAGCTGTGATGCAAATAGGAATGGAACAGACATAGGTATAGATACAGCAGATATTTAGCATAGCTAGAATGGCAAGAATTTTGTTTGTTCTTTGTCCTGCTCTGCAATGGATAGGCTCACAGGGAGAACTCAGTTAGAGATTCTTTCACACTGCTCTTTTTTGTTTAAGCTGAGTCTGTGGATATAGGATTTGCTGGCTCAGACACAGAAATAATGAGCATTTCTGTACAGTACATTCCTTGCATTCAGTTAAACGAAGGGAAAGTGCAATTAAGTTTGAAAGAAAGGCTGAAAAGCTGTAACTGAAGTGAAGATGTCCCCCTCACAATGAAAACTACTAGAAGGAGACCTTTTCATTCTGCAGCCTGACAGGAAACATTTTGCTGTTACTCTGTGTATGTGGACCAGCACTACTGCACTTAATGCTTCCAAGGAAGCAGAGGGAAGCTGTGAACTGAACCAGCATCTGTAGTGCAGAATGAAGAAGTTAAATGATGTGATTTCCTGTAGTAATCTGAAACATGGATTTAGTTACCCCATACAAAAAGATGGTGCTGTGTTTAGTTACAGGGCAAAAGCTGGCCAGGACCAGAAGTGATCTCCTTATAAATCATTTCTATTTAGTATGATCTGCTTTGCATGAAAGATTTATTTTCCTACTGTCTAGCAGCTACCAGGTCAAATGGTATGTGATCCTTTTCTACTTCCAGTTAAATGAGTATTCATGAATAACAAAATGGCTGTGAATCAGGCTAACGGCTGAGCTGGCCTGTGTGTGCCAGTTTGGGAAGGTAAACCAGGGAAAGAATTGTTCATTATCTTTATTTTGATATCTGATCAAAGTCAAGGAAATTGAATTTTTGAAATGAGCGATTTATGACCCATTTGGATTTTTTAAGAGGAACATAGCATCCTGGTGTGAGCACTCAGCCAGCCTTGTTCATGCAAATGAGTGTACAGAATACCTTGCTAAATTGCTTATGTTCGAAGAGACCTCTGCAGCTGTGACTGACATCAGGCATTCCTAGAGAAGGAGAGCTATAATTTAGAGAAGAAGCCAACTCTTTTCTTTCTCAGCAATGCAGGCTTTGAGCCTTTTTGTTTGCTGTGCCCTGGAAACCCAAAGTCAGATTGCCAGCTCTGTCTGCTTTTAATTTCCGGAAGCCAGTAAGGACAAACACTTGGAAACATGGTGTGAGGTTTGCTTAAAACCCATGAAATTTAAGGAATCAGTCTCAATGCTGTTTTCTTTTTCTTGCCTTCTGACTTTGGGATGCTTTTTGGCAAGTCTAAACACTCTAGCAGTGTACTTCATTGGGGAAAGATAGAAGGAAATTGGAAGCTGTGCTTCTCAAATAAGGGTGAAACTAAAACTCATCACAAGACTCACCATAAACTCACATTGCTAATCTCTTCTAACATTATTAAAACCACCGAAAGTTTTTGCTGCATATTAGTCTTGCACCAACTCACTGTAATGGACCGCCACAGGAGTGTGTTTGCAATGATATTGCAGTGGTTTAGCATGATGCAAGGGGTTAATTAGCCAAAAAATGCCAATCTTAAATTGGTGGCTGGGTGTTCTAGGGCAGGACAGGGCAAGGAAATCAGTGAAATGGGTGGTGTTCAGAATGTGCTGTTGTAATTATGATAGAGATGGGTTTTCCTGTATTTGTGTTCTGTTTCAATTTTGCATGGTGGCTGGCATGTGTCCTGAACCTGCATCTAAAATGCTAGCAAAAATGATGCACAAAAGCTGCTTTGTGGAATAGGGTGGGCCAAAAAAAGGCACAGTGCAATTGGTGTGAAGATACATCTGTACCAAAGATGTGTTGTTGCTCAACTCGGTGTACTTAGTCAGCTACTAACGGGTAGGAATGTTGCTTTTTTCTTTGAAGCCCATCTTCATCTCATCTTCAGATATTTGTGGAGGATTCCAGAGGTTTTGTTCTGAGTGAATACAATGCGCTTAAGCATGTTTCAGACCTTCTGGTGTCGGAGACAGATTTGAGCAACAGGGAAACTTTACAAAATACATGGAATTATTTTGAAGAATCCCAGAGTTTAATATGGACACAGGGACTGCTCACATAAGCCACTCAGAGCCTCTTGCTCTCTGAGCCACTGGATGCGGGTCAGCTCTGGTCTGGAAGATGTTAGGGCTCTGTATGCTAAGGGCTTGGGCACGTTGACTTGGGCACACTGCTGCAGGCAAAGGAGCTGTACTCTCATTGAACCCATCTGTTTGAACGGTTCTTTTTTTTTTCCTCTTTCCATTTTTCTGAGTTTCCCTTGACATGAACTGGCTGTGAAAAGGAAAAACCTTCAGCTCTTCTTGGTTTCTCCGTGACTGAAGTAAATCCATGAAATAAAATTCGTTCCCAGGACCGAGTACACCCGTGACCACCACTTTTCCTTGAGTCAGGCAAAGAAAACTCCCATTTCTGCAAATTCTTATTGTAGCTGGACTCTGTTTAATAATGGGAGTTTTTCTCATAGTAGTGAAGTGAATTACTGGATGCCAAGAGCTTATGGGGCAAACAAGGGCAGGACAGAAGATACTGTAATTTTATGCTGGAGAGCCAGCTATTTCCACCCAGTTTTTGTTGCTGTTGTCTGCTGGTGGCTCTTTTATAGGAGGCACTGGAACTGGAGAAATTCATTAAAGAAACAAAATATATCTTTTTGGCCAGTGATTCTGCATTCAGCTTAGATTCTGCTCTTCAAAAATACCGATCACAGTTTTGTCATCAGTTGTCCCCTCTTCTAGACACAGTGTGTATAGGCACGTGGTGGGGATGGATGTCTGTTATGCAGAACTGTTCAGCAGAGGAGTTGTGAGTCTGACTGGGAATGCCATGCCCAGTGTGTTGGATGTTTCTACTGACAGTGGTTTCCCAGTCCCAATGCCCATCATTGTCCGAGATCATTCAGCACTTTGAATGGTTATGTATGGACCATGGACTCTTCCTCTGAATTCAAACTCCTGTGTGACCAGGAGGGTGTTTTCAGGATTTGCTGACCTGCAGGCACACCAGAACAATTCAAAATTTGAAACTGTCAGTACTAATTTCAGTTCAGGATTGTTACATTTTATGGAATGTGCATTGAGTTTGATATGCATGTATTCCAGATCTTTGACTAATGGCATTTGCATGACCTTCATTTTAGAGAGTTTGAAAGGAGTTCTAAGTTTATGCTGTTGTTTGTTTTGTTTTTTTTTTTTTTGAAGCCTATGAAAAAGATCCAGAATAACATTTTACCAGGCTGCACCATGAGGGACAGCTAGATGGTCCCTTCTATAGCAACTTCCTTCCTTGTTCTGTGAAGCAACAGAGAGGAAACCTCTCAGAAGTACCTCTTGCTTTGCGTGGAGAAATGCAGCTTTTGTGCAAACTGATGTTGGGCTGAGAGTCCTTCACTGCAGTGTAGATTGAGTTCTGAGGTTAATCCCCTTCTCTGTGCTCTCTTGGCAAGCCATTTGGTAAACGGTGCCCACAGCAATTGATGTGTCTGATGCAGGCAGTTCTGTGTCCCTGCGTGCAGCTTTGAGTGCTCAGGCAGCAGTGTGTTGTATTTCAAAGACACATTTCAGTAATTTTGGGTTTTAGTCATATTTGATATCACCTTGTGAGGTGTTAGATAAAAGCCATATCTCAATCCCACTGAAGATTGCAGTTCGTGGTGGAGGAAGTCCTGATAAGCTTATAATACATGGAATAGTTATTGCTACTATCAAATTAATCCAGCCAACCTTCCATATTTGGAGACTTTAATGATCAGAGTGCATGTCATTATAGAACAGACAAAACTTTCTTCAACCCTTCCTACACAGTTCAGCCTTTGTTCTGAGCATGTCTGACAATCAGAGAGATCTCCAATCCAGATTGCCTTTTTTTTTCTTCCAATTAAGTGGTTTTAGGATTCTCTTTAGATTGATGTTAGTAGTGATGCATTTGTTTACTGAAAAAGCTTCGTTGGTGGAAAAAAAATATTTATTATATACATTATTTATTATATAAATATACTATATATGATATAAAAAATATATAGAATATTTTACTCTCTGCTTAATGCTGTCTGCAATGGCTGGCTGTGGTAGCTTCTGGTACACTCATTCTTTTCAAGTGAAGTGATTCAGCGATGGAGCTCAGTATGATGTTTTCACTAAAGCCTTGACATTATCAAGAGCATAGGCTGCAACAACAGCACTGATGTGACAATGTTTCTTAGCTGGTTTGGAGCACTTAGAAGTTTTTTATCTCACAGAGAAGAAAAAGCAGACCCATGAGGATACAGCTTGGGCATCCTGATGTAGTGGAAGGTGTCCCTGCCCACATGAGGGGGGTCAGAATTAGATGGGCTTTAAAATCTTTTCCAACCCAAAGCATTCTATGATTCTATAAGAGATACAGCACAAACAAAGGCCAGTATTGCCCTGCAGTTGAGGTGCTGTACAGTTTCATATACATAATTACTATGACATATCGTAGTCTTTATCCTGTTAATTTTGAATTTAGGAAATTTAAGCTGGTTCCAAGTTCTTTAAAGCCAACATAGTCATGCTTTCCAGTGAAATGACTTTGCAAAACTTCTTTTCAATGAGCAGCCGGTGGTATTCCTCCATAATGAAAAAAAAATTTGTTTTGCAGAATCCTCCAATGCTACTTTATTGACCAATGCAGAAAAAATTGCTACAATTACAACCACACATACTCCTCAGCAAATACCACAGGAGACCAGGTCAGATTGTTTTCCTTGAGGAGAGCGTGATGCCCTGCTCTCTGTTTGGTTACTTGTGATCATCTTCACATCCCATGAGCTGTCTTTTTCCTCTCTCCCTCTTTCTCTCATGCACTGCAGCAGGAACAACACAAAACCAAAGCAGGAATCCCAGTTTGATTTCAAACCACCCCAAGCAGCACAGGTAAGGAATGCTTTTCTAATTGCTTTGTTTACCACAGACTATTGCTTCCAGTCTGCTTAAGGGCTTTGCTCAAATGTTTCCCTTGAAAATCCATACTGGGAGGCTGTTCTCTCTCAGTCTGTTTGCCGAGAAAGAGGGATTTGCTGATTAGTTTCTTAATACGTGTTGCTTTTGTTTCAGCTGGCAAACATTTCCAAAACGTTCTCACTCAGACTTTAAGAAAAAGTTGAACGTTTTTATGGCAGTAGTGATTGATGTGTTTGTTTATGGAAGTGTATGTTTTAAGGGGGCTCTCCACAAAGCACTGCTTTGTGCAAATGATAAAATCAGGGAACAGAAAAGAGCAAAACTTAATAAGGAGCTGTTGCTGAAGTGCTCCAGGTTTTGCAGACCAAGCCTTATTAAAGAGATTATTCCACTGTTATCTTTCCTTGCCACTGGCCATCCCAGAAGTAACCTCCTCCATCAGGGACTTCAAAACATCCCTGTGCCAACAGCATTGTGCTGTACAGAAAAACAATGCATGTACTTCTGACCTGACAAAAGAATAGAAGGGCTGGTAACAAAACAGAGAAGACAGCACTGTGGTGTAGACTCATCCCAGTTACCAGCTAATTAGAGCCTGGCTCTGGGAGCAGGGTCGTCTTCATGGCCCTTTTCAAAGGAAATCCCCAGGTGTGTGTGAAAGCTCAAATGATTTTAACAACGAGTAACAGAAATGATAACGTTCATTGGCTGAATAATTTCAAAATGAGAACTAGAGACGCACTTAACTTTCTGTTCAATTGCACATCTGTTGTCTTCTCTCCAGCAGGACCAAGATTTTTACACTGTTGAGCTGGAAAGAGGAGCCAAAGGGTTTGGCTTCAGCCTGCGAGGCGGCCGGGAGTATAATATGGATCTGTACGTGCTGCGGCTAGCTGAGGATGGGCCAGCTGAGAGATGTGGGAAGATGAGGGTATGCACAAACAGATTTTAAACGCGTGCTGCAATGAGCTGACTTGCCTGCCTCTCCCCTACAGACACACCTTCTGCTGTGCCAGCTAATGGGAAAATTAAATGTTGACAGAAAGGAGTAGTAGTTTCTACTTACTGCTGTCAGTGGCTTCTGGCACTCTCTATATAAAGAGTATATAGAGATTGTATATATAATCTCCAAAACTTGGAAAACTTTCACCCCATCCTTGTTGCAACCCATATTTCCAAATTCTAATACTTAAGCAGACCTTGAAAGCTAACAAAGGCATGGGAAGCAGTGAAAATGTAAGCCACAATTTTTGACTTTGACTTTGTGACTCCTTTAAAGCTGGAGATGTGTCGAGGATTAGGTTGCCCTACCTGATCCTTGTCTCTACTGGGGATGGAGCAGTGAGGGACCATTCGTATATATTGACTGTTGGGTTGAAAGATTATGGTATAGTTTTAATTAGTGTTATCTGTTTGCTTTGCATATCATCTAGATTATAAACATTATAGCAAAGTCATAGTTACAGAATGCCTACAAAAAGGAAATTACCAAGTTTTATGTATTCCTTGCTCCTCTAATACAGAACGTGTCGTAACTTCAAAGTATGTCTTCTCCTCCAGACAAATTACATGAAGGGCATTTTCAAAATCCTTTTGCTAGAGCTAGATTTATAAGTCCAAAAATTTTGCTGATGAAAATAAATCATCACTGTGCCTGGTGGAAGCCAATGCATTGACAAGTTCTTCCAAACCCTATTGTTCTATCCTGATAAATGTTTATACATATAAGAGGAGATTTGCTCGTTCATAGCAGGTATTTATATCCAAGTGAGAAACAAACCTGAAAAAAACTACTTGAACATCTTTGCTAAAGCAGGTTATAAAACAAGTAAGCAGTTTGACCAAAACCTTGAAAATAGTCAAAAAGATAAGAAGAGTTCTAGCATTGGCCTAGTTACTAAGCGATACAATAATGCAGGCTGTTTTTGCAGAATGGCAGTGAAATAATTTGACACCTCAGGCTTTCCCCGTCTTCTTCATGTCTCCCAGATCCCCTGCACTGTTTTCAGTGGACTCACAGCCATAGCAGTAGATGTCACTGGAAGGAGTCAGGCATGTGTAGTCCTAACTGGTGCATGCTGTGTCCTATACTATTGCTGTGGCCATTGTTTTCTGTGCACTGTGCTGATGGGGGCCCTCTTCAGGGCTTCTTTCTAATCCCGGGCTCTTCTGTTTTATTGCTTTGACAGATTGGTGATGAAATTCTAGAGATCAACGGGGAAACTACTAAGAACATGAAGCATGCTCGGGCCATCGAACTGATTAAAAATGGTGGCCGCAGGGTCCGCCTGTTTCTGAAACGTGGAGATGGCTCTGTCCCAGAATATGGTGGGTCAAACTATGAAAACATTCCTTTCTTCCCTGGCATCACTCCATGAATGATTTATCTCAAGATCTGAAGCAGGAATTCTTTTTTATTTTCCTTTCTCACCAGTGTCTTACCAACCTTTGCAACATATGGTTAATTGCCTCGCTTGTACTGAATTTTCTACACATTTCATCCTTTGCTTGCTTCCATGGACTTGGGGCGCAGTGTAAGGCAAGATCATCATAGCAGTATTTTTTGGTGATCAGAGAGGAAAACAAAACAAAACAAAACCTTATTGTCTTGTCCAGCCAAACAAGGAATGTCATTGAACTGTGCCAAACTGTTTCTCAGCGGCTGAAATGTTGTTCAAATAGGTCTCTACTTCTAATCAATGCAAAAACTGGGATCCTGAGTTGTTATTCCGAAGCAGTGATAATTTATTTATTTTTTGGTTAGGATTTTCTCTTAGTTCCTGTCTGTATTCATAGACATGAATGCCAAGATGGCTTACGGGATTTTTGCCTTCCCTTAATATTTATGTAAATATTTATAAAGTTATTTAAGGAAAAAAAGAAAAAAAAAAAAGCTTTACTGCAAAAAATATATTGATTTGGCCTCCTAAGCCCTTTTCTCCCCCTTTAAACAGTCTGCTGGTTTCAACTTGTTAATTCATAAGGTCTGAAAAGGCGTGGAAGTTATGAAAAGGTGCTCTCGTCTCTGTGGTGGGGGAACATTCAGCCCTTGTTTCTTACTAAGAATTGCATTAGAATTCCTTTTCTTCCCCTGGAGGTTGGATTGCTGGGTGGCTTAACATAGCACACTATTTAATATTACAATTATGTCTTATTTATTTGAGATAATTGTCATATATTGTGCCCTCGATGGAGGGCTACTCCCAACCAAAGGTCTTTGAGGTTTCTAAGGAAACTGATGATTGAAGGGATGTCCTTTACATTTTTCTCCCCTTATTTGGGTTCTTTCTGTGTCAGTAAGATAATGTGTTTATCATTCGCTCCATGTTCTAGTATCAAAACCAAAATCATTCTGCACAATTTATGAACTAGATTTTCTTTTCATTTACTGTACAAGGTTTGAGAGTTTCTGCTCACTCTGTTCACTACTTAACTTAAAATGACAGATTCAGAGTATGACCAACCAACAATTGAAGTATTTATCAATACGAAAGGGAAGTTGTGGGTTTATACTTCTGTAATATAAATAGCACACCAGAAGGTTCAATGATGGCACTGAAATTCTGTAATGTTCTTTCTACTTTTGTCTTTTCCTATACTCCTTTGGATGTACAGTACTGTATCATATGCTAGACTGCATCAATACCCTGTAAATTAAGTGCTTCACATCTCAAAGCGTATGTCTGTTGCACTGAGGATGAAAATCCAACACCAGTTTTCTTTTGGCTAATGCTAAACCACTAAACGTTCATTCTCCACACAAGGATTTAATATACAGGGGCTGCACTACTTACTGTAAAGAATATCCTTGTAACATTTGGGACTCCTTCCTCTCTTTGTTCTGTTCGCTGCAGTCACAAATGGTTCCTCTAATAATGTTAAGTTCCAATATTTTTCTGACTTGATTGGAACGTGCTTCTCTATGAGGCTGTATATTTTTGTAATGAGTTTTGTACTTATTTTTAATGTTGTGGTCTCTGGTGGACTTTATTTTTCGTTGTTGTTTGATTGTTAATGTTTTTTCTATGACATTCTGTGTCGCTGTTCCAGCTGTCTTTTAGAATGGATGCTCTCGTTGTCTGGGTTATCGAATCACCTCTTAGATGTCTCTTTATGTCACAATAATAACAACCGCTGTCTTTGCAGCCTTATATTTGGGTGAAGCCTAGACAATCTGACTGGAAAAATAAACTTTCTTTATTCTAAGATAAAATATGAAGATTTTTCTTTCTTTCACCTTTAATATAGGGAATCTAAATTTTCTACTTTTCTCTTTCTCTTTCTCTTACTTTTCTTGGTGCTGGGCTCTTCCTTCCTCAGCGATGATACCTCCTAATATCGCTGCATGTATGAGAAATGACAAGCTCGGGGAGTCTTGCTTCTACCTTATGGGCCATAATCAAACTACGGTTTGTAGCTAAAATCAATATTAGGTGTTTTTGTGCTGTGGCCTAATTCCCTCACATTGCTTTCCGCTTCGCTATATTTTATATGTACAGCAATTCATTCCGAGCACCCTGCGTCCCCTGAATTGTAAGTACACCACTGAACACCTTTAAGCCTCGCTTGTACCATGTGTGATAGCCAGGTTGCTGCAAGCCACGTGCTTACAGCTATGGAAAAGAAGTATGGTCCTGCCTGGGAAAACTAATGAGCAAAAATGCACACACGTGAGTCACAATATGGGTTTCACTTGGAAATCACCAAAATAATGGTCCGTGCCCACACCGACCTCCCAGGCTAAGGAACGGAGATATCACCAGGTGGGAGGCACTGTGGTGGCAGGAGCAAGCAGTATGCATAGTGTTTGGGGAGGGAATACTAAAGGGAGAAAATCAGAAAAAAGAATCTGTCCCATACATGTCTGTGAAGGGTTTAGTCATTGCCATTGGGACAGCTCACCTCAAGGTCAGCGTGGGCTGAAGGAAGTGTAGCAGCACTGGCCGAGCTGCCCCGCAGAAATTGCTTACAAAAAAAAAAATGCAATAACAAATAAAAGCAGCACCCACATTAAGTCAGCATGGCTACTTTAATGATTGCCACGTCTGTAATGAATCATTCATAAACATGGTTCCAAATGACGTGAGTGATTGAGGCTAAGCTCGAGGGCAGGGCTGCGGGCTCAGTTCTGGGGTTTTATTCAGCTTTGCAGTTTGGGTTACAGAGGTAGCTCAGCTGGATCTTACATGAAAATAATGAGCTGGAGATTAGGTGTTAATCAAAGCCATTCTACATATTATAATACCTTTCCATTGCTTTGATACGAGAAAACCATACCTTCTGTCATCATCTGTTGAATCATTGTGGCAAAACCAAAATCTACCCCAGGACTTCTCATAACATGGCAGAATTAAGTGAGATTAAGTAATGTCTTAAAATGGAAATTGCACGATTACAGTCTAATTCTCACACCTTCAAAATGTTCTTTTGCAAGGTCAGAACATAATGATCAATTCTGTTTTCCACACTTTTTTCTGCCGCTTGAAACAAGACCTTCCACAGCAGGAAGGCAAGGCTTTCAAAAGCCATAGAAGAAAAAAAAATTATGCCCTTAGGCCCCTCTTTATTGGAAACTATCACAAAAAAAAATCCAACAACCCAAAGTACCTTTTTTTATCCCCACTGGAGAGAAAGTAGCATAAGTGGATGGGGGAAATGTAAAATGCCCCATGACAAGAAGAGCATAACGATGCTATCGGCCTGGACCAAAGCACGGCAGCACCAGTACTAACCTGTAACTCTCGTTGTTCGCAGTTAAATTAACAAAAGCTTTGGTTAGCCCTCACTGACTGCTTTAACATTTGTTTGTTTTTGTCACTAATGAAGTCTGAAGAGTGCTAAGTGGTGTCACGGCGCTGCGGAAGGCTGTGGTACCAAACGCTTTGCTGTTATTTTCTTTCAGACCCCAGCAGTGACAGGAACAGTCCCGCCACAGGTTCACAAAATGTATCGGAAATGAAACCCGCGCCATCCGACCGACGGCAGCACCCATCATTGGAGTCCAGTTATCCACCAGACCTTCACAAATCATCACAACATGGGGACAAGCGGACTTACGTTAGAGACCTAAAAGGCAGCAGAGAGGTTAGCAGACATCCCAACGAACACCACACTTGGAACGGGACTTGTAAAGCCAACGACACCGTGCCAGGCAGGAGGACGGAGCGGTCACCGGAGAGGAGACGCGAGAGGCAGCCGGAGAGGGCGGCGGTGAATGGGCAGAAGAGGAGGTCACCCGAAAAGCAGCGCAGGGAAGGGACGAGGAGCGCCGACAACACCCTGGAGAGACGGGAGCGGCACGAGAGGAGGAGAGACCTCTCCCCAGAGAGACGCAGGGAGCGGTCACCTGGCCGGCGCCGGCGCTCGCTGGAGAGACTCACGGAGCCCAGGAGGTCGCCGGAGCGGAGAAGGGAGAACTCCCTGGACAGGCGAGCCAAGTCATCCGACCGGCGGAGAGAGCGGTCGCCTGAGCGGCGGCTCAGAGAAGAGCGGGCCGGCCACAGGCAGAGGGAAGATGCCAGCTGGAAGCAGGAGGCGAGCCGCCGGCACCCAACTGAGCAGCGCAGGCGGCCCTACAAGGAGTGCAGCACCGACCTCAGCATCTGAGGGGTCCCCGCCGTCTTCCCCGCGCCACGGGAGCTGGAACCACCCGGGCTCCACGAGGCGAGGAGGCACCTGCTGGTTCTACAAACCTTTTATGCAGATGAAATCTTATAACAAAAAAAAACCAAAAACATTTAAAAAAAAAGTGTTGTGCCTGATGTATAATATTAAAGAAAGTATTTTTCAATGTATTCTTTTTTTTTTTTTTTTTTTTTTTAATTACTTGCCAAATGTTGGTCCTAAAGGATTATAAAGTTTTGTTTCTACATTCTTTGTAGATTTCTTAAGAGTAATTCCTTTATCAGGCTACTTTCCCCCCTCCCCAATATAGTAAATGGGGGTAGCCAGTAATATAACATAGGTAAAGGATTTTATGACCAAGTTGGAATAATTTGATCCAGACTGTTCTCTAGTGACTCACTGCTACACTGTATGTAGAAAATTTTTTAAGGGTTGGGGGTGGGGAAGGAAGAAAATTGTTCATCTCAGTAGGAATGGAGCGCTCCTGCTGAAGGAATTAAAAAGAAAGAGACAAAATGTTCCTAAAATTGCAAGAACTGTTTGAAGAGACTACTGTTTCAATGAAGGATATTTATAATAATAAATAATAATAAATAATAATTAAAAAAAAAAAAAAAAGAACAAAAAAAACCCACACAGCACAAAGTGATTTGCGATAAGGAATTTTTAGTTTGTTCCATGAACAGTTTATACTTTCAGGCCCCCTCTACAGGATGCGCAAAGGCAGAAAGACTGGTAACCACCATGCCTGTGTCACACACTAACGTAGACTGTTGATCTCTCATTAGCCTCAGCAACACTTAACGATATTTCATTAAGGCAGCCACCGCAGCCCTCTTCATCTTCTAGATGTGTATGGACAGCAACCCGAACGTGCATGGTATTGTGTGTCTGCTTTGGAGCAAGGGAAGGGAGCGGGATCCCGGGAAGGCAGTGCGGTGGGGAGCCCTTCCTTGGAGCAGGTGTATTGCTTCTGCTCGGGCAAAACCAGTGGGCTCTTCTTATTTTGCCAAATTCAGACAAACTCTCTTCTTCTCGCTCCGTATTTAAGTTTTTATTTTACTGGTTCATCCTTACTGAGACAAAAGGAGTGCACTTGCTGGGAAAAAAAAAAAAAAAAAAAGATAGGTGTATGAAAGGAAAAACACAGGCAAAAAGAGGCAATCAGTGGGACAACCTGGTTGTAGAAGCCTACCCATACTGGTTATATGCTGTAAAATTGAGTCTGAGAACAGCAGCAAAAGGGAAACCTGCAAGTTTCTAAGTTGTGTTTTTAAATTTGCAAGTTGTGTGGTAAGTCTGCTGTAGTATTGGTCTGAGATTTTAATGGATTACTGCCTAGCTGAGCCAAAATGTTTGCCGTTACTGTTGGACCACTAAAGTAACCTGCTGCTTTTTACAGTGCATTGATGTGTACATGTATACTGTTTCACATTTTCCATATGAACACAAAAACATTGCAAGTCTATCACTGTTGTTGCCATGGTACTGTAAAAACAAAACCAAGAAAGAAGATGGCCAATCATTGTGTGTACAGTTTAAATTGTAATTAATAGAGCCTGTTGGAAAAAAAAACCACAAAACTGTTGCCTTTTTCTTGTATAAAAGAGGATTTATGACAAAATTTAGCTGTGAGGAATGTGATTACGTGTTTATATTTCTGAAAATGGAACAAATCGATTCAGGGGAATATATTTTAATGTAAACTGAATCAGGTATGTAAAGCTGTTTTAAAATGGGAGACTATATAAGTAATTCTAAAGCTTTTGTTGGTTCAGATATCATTTCTTTCTTCATGGTGGGCCTGCTTATATATTCTTAAGCACATGTATGCAGTCTATGTTCTTCAATCATCATTTCTTGCAATGTGCTATTGACATGATGCTCTTTTCTGTGTTGATGAAAAAGCAGTATGTGGGCCAATCTTTTTTATAAAACACTATGCATATATAAATATTACATTGTTCATAGCTTTATTTGACTTATTGGGTTTATACATAACACTAGGATGAGTAGACGTGGACTTACCCAGTATGAGCTTCTTTCCTTGGAACAGACACTATGTATATGATGTAGCAACAAAGAAGGAGAAAGTCTGTGAATGCTATTTTTATTATCAAATAAACTTTTCCATACAAAGCATACATATGAGTGTAGTGATAAGATGAAGGAAGAGCCACACCATAATGTTACTTACTCATCCCTTGTCTAAAGCAGTAGGTTTGCAGGTTCCAAGGGCCACCCATTAAATATGGTAGTATTTGACAAGTGATAAAGCACAGGTTCCCAGTTTTCCAATATAAAATGTTCTTTCCCAGGATAGGGAGAAGCTGAGGGTGTAAGTGGAGCAGAGTTCAGTGTTACACCTGGGGTGCAGCCTTTAAGTCTCTAAGGGTGCATTTGGGTCTATAGGAAAATGCACAGATATTTTAGGTTTGACTCATTTATAATGCCTTTTCACTACAAAATTACCTTGTGATGTTATACGTGGCTCCTGAATTTTTGTCCTCTGCTGCTACCACTGTTTGCCCTCTCTTGTAGTGTAGTTTAAGTGGTCCTAGAGAGCTGATAAATGAGTCATAAGTTTTTTCAGTCTTAAGCTGACAAAGGTCGTGCATTGTTAATGCTGAAATTATAGGAACATTTCAATATAAAAAATACTGAAAGTTGGGGAAAAATATTTAGTTGCTTTTAATTTTTTAGTGGTGGCGGTGTTCTTTCTACTGCTTCCAAACCCACTCGGAGCTGGAGTTAAAGCAGGAGCATTGCAGCTCCATATTCCATGGTGCAGCTGTATTCCCTTTAATTCATTCCAGCTTTAGTTCTGACCGTAAAATACATTATTTAAAACTTCTAAAAATGAAAAGAAACACTTTTTTCAAAAATGCAGCTTGGTTGATGCTTTGTCCAGCAGTGTTCTGCCATTGAGGGGTTTCCAAAAGGATGAATTAGAGTTTGTTTGTGACGAAGAACTGAGAAGTTTATGGAGTGGTAAGTGAAAAAGCTCAGCCAGTTGATACTGTTCGTTTGTCTTTATTTCCCATTTTTTTAAGTTTAACATTTACTTATCAGTATTACGTGATTAAATCATGTGCCACCAGTGCTCAGTCCTGTTATTTGTGCACATGTTGATTAATACCTGAACTTGGGAGTCTGTGTCTGCAGACAAGGGGCTGTTAACAGTAAGAGGAGTTACGTGGGTTTTTATCTTTGTGGTCGGAGCTACAAGTAACTTCTGAGCTCCATTCACCTTTATCCACTTCCACTCACTTCCCTCCTCCTTGAATATTCATTTCTTGGCACTGAAGCCAGTGTTTTATTTAATAGTGATCCCATGTTAAATCCATCTGCTGCACAATTCTTGTTTTATCATCAAAGTAATAATTATAGATACTGCTCTCCTCCTCAGTTTGGTACCTTTTGTTGCAACAGGCTTTCAGCTCAGTCTCTTGGCTGACTGTTCTGCTGAAGAACGTTATAAATGGCTCATAATATGCTTCGTTTATTTGGCTATCATAAATAGCACCAGGAAAAGATGTCATTTATGACCTGCCATCTGTAAATGTGTTTGTTAGGCCTTTGGGGTTGCATCTCTTAAAAAAAAATCAGTAAGAACTAAACTAGAATCTCAATTTACTCAGCAGTTGTTTGAAAACGTGAGTCTGATGATGCCATTTTCTGAGTTGGATGTGATGCCAATCCGTCAGCATTGCATTCCTCAGTACGTGACAAAGAGGAGTAAAGTGCAATGCAAATGGAAAATCGATGGGTGTCAGGACAGAAAGGAGTATAAAGTACAGGCTGCCACAAGCAATGCTGCTTTGCACCTGTAGAAGTTCAGTGGTTGGGATTGGCCACGTTATGACAATCTGCCACAAAAACCCTAACTTTAACTCAGAGTCTGCTGTTCACAATTTGAAGCATTTGTGTTTCTTTTCCATTACTGCTTTTGTTGCCTTTAACTTGCAGCCAGATACTTTCGAGTTTGTAGAACAAAGTGGGAAAATCAAAGGCTCTGTGTTTGTAGGACATCCTCTTCCAAATTCCTACAAGAAGTCACTGGACCTGTCTTCACCCAAACTCAACAGCAGTTAGCAAACAGTCTGTTGTTATGTGAAATTTACCCTTTGCAATGCTCTTCTAAATAATAAATGGCCATCAAAGTTTAAAAATGCGAAGTTCAAAAATGGACACAGTTCTAAAATATTTAAAATAATTATGTTTCTTGATATTTACAGGGCCTGGGAGGGAGAGGCAGCACACG